TCCCCCCGCGGAAAAAGAGGGGCATCGCCAACTCCTCCAGCCACAACTTCGACGGGCCGGTAAGTGATCCCGTGGGGTCTGCGGCCGGCGGCGCTGCACCAGCCGGCCACATCCCGAATCGGCCGCGTCCCACATGGGGCAAAGCAGAAGCATCAGAGATGCTCAGCCTACCACGTCCCCTCTGCCACCCTGCGTGGACCCTGGGATGGAGGCAGGGTGGGAAGGTCCAGAAAAGGCGATGCAACGGGCAAAAGGGGCTCCCAAATCACAAGCAGGAGATTTGAGATCGGGGGACTCTGTCTGGCCGCCCCTCAGACCAGCTGAAAGCTGCTCTGGATCTGTCCCTGGAGAGGACGTGAGGATGCCCGGCTTCGTATGCAGATGGGCTTTGCTTGAATTCCCTGCCCTGCTGCACCCGGAGCCGAGCGGAGCCGGGGGTCTGATCCCCGAACCCCCTCTCCCCAGTGGGACACCTACCCCGACGTGCTGGGGCTGCAGTTCAGCTGGGACGGCTTTTACAAGGAGGTGGGCTCTGCCTTCATCGGCTCCAGCCCCGAGTTCGAGTTTGGCCTGTACACGTTGTGCTTCATCGCGCGTCCTGGGAGGCTGTAAGTACCGTACCTGTCTGCATCTGTCCGTCCATCTGTCCACCTGTCCACCGGCCGTGGGGCCAGCGGTGCCCTCCTGAGCCCGGGCAGCAGCCGGGTCGGCCCCTGAGCCCAGCTCTGGGGCATCACAGGTGGGAGGGCATCAGGGATGGAGCAGTGCTGGTGTGGGGACACCAAGAGCACCCTGGAGATGGGATTGTGGGGTGAGGGGGTCAGGGATGGAGCAGTGCTGGTGTGGGGACACCGAGAGCACGCTGGGGATGGGATTGTGGGGTTTAGGGATGGAGCAGTGCTGGTGTGGGGACACCAAGAGCACCCTGGAGATGGGATTGTGGGGTGAGGGGGTCAGGGATGGAGCAGTGCTGGTGTGGGGACACCAAGAGCACCCTGGAGATGGGATTGTGGGGTGAGGGGGTCAGGGATGGAGCAGCGCTGGTGTGGGGACACTGAGAGGATCCTGGAGATGGGATTGTGGGGTTTAGGGATGGAGCAGTGCTGGTGTGGGGACACCGAGAGCACCCTAGGGATGGGATTGTGGGGTGAGGGGGTCAGGGATGGAGCAGAACTGGTGTGGGGACACTGAGAGCACCCCGGCGATGGGATTACAGGGCGTCAGGGATGGAGCAGGGCTATGACACAGGCTGTGTCCCCACAGATGTCACCTGAGCCTGGGTGGCTACAGCCTCAGCATCCAGACCTACACCTGGACCAAGTCCACCTATGGCAACGGCAAGAAATACATCGCCACCGCCTACGTGAGCTCGCCCTGAGGCTGGGAGGAAGGGGGGTGACCACAGCCCCGCTTTGCAGCCCTGGGCTGCCCCACGCCAGGGACCCGCGGCACTGGGCAGGACTGGTCTGGCTCTGGGAGGCGGCCGGCGATGCTGCAGGACCAGTGCAGGGTACTGGAGGGGGCTGGGCAGGGCGGGGGTGCCCGTGCCCTGCGTGGAGGCAGGGGGGGGCTGGGGGGCGGAGAAAGCCTGGGCCCCCCCCAGTCCCATCGAGCGTTGGGTTCCCCAGTCACAGGAGGAGAGCAGGGTGGAGGGGGGGGACTCACGGTGGAAAGCAGCACCCCCGAGCGAAATAAATACCGACCCTGGATGGAGAAGTGTTGAATTCCTCAGTGCAGGAGCTGCTGCTGGCCGTGCAGCCTGCCCTGCTCCCCGGCACAGC